CTTCATTGCTTGGTTGGCAATCTAAGATAGGATTTGGACTATCAATAGGTTGGCCAAGCGGGGATGAACAAATTATGGTCTTATCTCCTTTGCAAGAGGGAACAAGAATGCAAGATTTCTTCAAATGTCGATACTCCTTTAGGTTTTGAAACTTGATCATTAAGAAGCTTCACCTTGAGAATATGGACACATCTTCATGGCCTTTGGCAGGCTCCGTCAAAGGTTGGTGGACAACTATATAACATGTGTGGACATCCCTCATCGAAAAGCCATGGCTTCCCCTTACCATACTTGTGTCCTAGGCCATTTGAATGAGAGAACGGCATGTATGTTCCGCCACAAGAGCGCCCGACGAAAATCTTGCTCAACATCATCAAGACCAAGGCGAGCCTATGTATGGATCACCGCGGGTGTGAAGAAACTAGAGTCAATGTATTGCGAGAATAATCCCTATGTGGTGTCTAAGGGTCATTTATAACCAAACTCTATTCTCTTCTTGACTAATGGACAAGATAAATTTTATACCTTCTTAAAAAAACAAATAGCAGAAGTCGTCCAACACGCCGACTAATCTAATAATGGAAGCGGTATATCGTTGATCACTCGAAAAACGTTTTCGGTACGCACCGTTCCACAGCCATCCCCGTGCATTCCAGTAGATCCCGCCCCAGGCCGCAGCCAGCCAATGGTTTTTTCCTAACATAGTACCACATACGTACACACCCAACCCCTATGATCACCTTGTGATCAACAGAGACGTTTCCTTCCACTAACCAAACATTGTCGAGAAGTTTGAAATAAATCCAAAACCCGTGGCTTAAATCCTGATGGGCTAGTTTCAGCCCATGAAACCTAAACCATGCGAGGTTCACTTGAAGCGGCCAATTCTCAGTGGTGGACCTGAGAAGCGATAACGACTGCGCGGGTGCGCCGACGGCCTCCGAGTCCCCGTCAGGCAGCAGCAGCAGCAGCAATCCGTCCATCCATCTTTTCAGGGAGCCGGAGCTTCGCGTTATGCCGTCCAGGCAGCGTTCGTGCTACAACAAATCTGGCAGAACGACAAGACCCTTATCATCATAGTAGTGTATAAGAGAAAGCACCAGATCGCGTCGAGGCAAGAGAAAGCGAAAGCGCGCGCAGCCGTGTTGGTGGATCGAGAAAACAGCACTGCTATACACACGACGCTAATAGACGATTTGTGGACGACGCTGGAGATCACACCATACGTCGCACGGCAGCAGCACCGGTGCACCGTTGGATATGTCGTTCGGCTGTATGTCGTCTGTGCAGTATCGGCTGCACAAAGGAGACGCAAGTTGCATGCGGCCGCCCTCAACTTGGCGTCAGCCGAGCAGCGGGAGGCCGCCACCTGCAGCAGATAGACACCTGCCACGGCCACACGGCCCCAAGCCAAGAGCGGTGCACGCGAAGCGACGGCGCCGAAACCGCGGTGGCGGGCTCGCGTGGGCGAGAAGTATGTGCAAGAGTTGCCTACCTGGGCTGCCGCCGCCGCCGCCGACGTGCCCGCGCCCGACGCGCTCCCTCTCCTCGCAGCCGCTGGTGGCATACTGCCACGGTATGGTCAAACCGCGCGCCCCGCTCGCCGTTTCCCGGCTAAACCCGCGGCGAACGTTGCGTCCATTTTCGCGGTTCGGATAGGGCTTGGCTGGGCTTGGATCACGACATGCCACTCCGCCGTGGTCACCGGATAAACAAACAAACTAGGAGGATGCGTCCATGAATCATTGCTCGGTCCGTACGGTGCATGAGCAGTCAATTCATCACAGCTCCAACAACGACTTGGGTCATCCAAGTTCAGCGTGCCTGGCTCCGTCTGGCTCCGCGCTCTCGCTTATACTCCACAACCTCAAAACACTCGCAAGGGAGGGATTAGGGGGATGTTTCTCTCCTACTGCTCCCTTTGCTTGTCCGTCCCAAACGATGGTGACAACACTGTGAACATCACTCTTTGTCCACGACAGGCATCTTTGTCCGTAGCCGATAGCCAGAGCACAGAGCAGAGTGAGAGGAAACCGTCCGTCTCCGTCCCTCTCCCGACCCACCGGGTTCATGTACACGTACTTGCATCCACCATGACAACCGCACGGCTTGATTGCCCAACTCACTGACTGATTAAGCGCATAGCATCACTATCACTAGCTATGTCTGCAACGCTGTTTTTTTTCGATAAAAGAGGCCACATGGCCCCATTTCCATTATGAAAGTAGGAGTCTGGATGCAACAAAACGCAACACCACATCATTTTTCCACAGACCTGATGTGTCACCTCACCCGCTGATGAACAGCCTACATCCTAGACATATAACCACATTTATAGGATGCCAATCAGCCAAAAATAATAAGCAAGTCTATATAACCTGAACGCACTACAGAGCCGTCCAATTTTTCAGGTAGAGACAAAGCACGATCTTTGAGTAGAAGGATTCCGGCCGTACGCTCTTTTGTAGACTTCATTTTCTATCAAAGATAGCCTCTTGAAAACCTTCCTAAGCATTTTTTGCACTCTTTTTCTTTGCAGATCACCCAGGAATCCAACAAAAAACACATAATAAATATTACATTGATAGGATATAAAGGGAAAACATGTTGAAAACATGATCTATTCCTTGTTTTCCAAATTGTGCAGATCAAAACAGCAGCACCAATAGAAACAACATCCCTGTCCTTACCAGAATAGGATGGTATCCAGTTTTGACAAAGATCAACAAAGGTAATTTCAAGTTACCCAGCGAACCTCAAATCACATTTCATAAAAACCTAACAAAAGAGCATGAAAATAATAGATGATCAATGCTCTCAGAGACACCGAAAAACTCGCAAAAATTAATCCTTTTCACCCTCGTCTAAATAAGTTATCCTTGGTTAGGATCCTCCCTTTGATCACTAACCATATAAACACTTACATCTTCAGAAGCATTCTCAACCTTCAAAGAAGTTTAAAAGGAAAAGCAACCACTCTAGCTATAAGGCAATGATAAAAGCGGCTTATCCGAGAAGGATTCCGATTTAGTTAAAAGCCATTTAACTTTGTGAGCCTCCTCCGATAGAGTAACTTGGCTACTCATATCGAGTAATTCATTCCACATCGTAAGAGTTTCTTCATAAAAACATCTCTTGAATCTAATACAATCAAAATCCTAGTTAAAGACTTTAGCAACAGTAACATGCAAAGCTAAACTTTGGTTATATAGAGGGGGGCAAGGCCCCCCCCCCCCACCCTCCATTATACACCTCGATTGTATATCAAACTGATGGATTGTTAAACTCTCTTTTCTTTTGGTACAAGAGGCTTTCTCATTCCTCTCTTAACTCCCATGCCTTTGAGCCAATCAATAAAATTTGGGTTCGTCTAGGGCACATCTAGATGTGCTCTAGTTATTGCACATCTAAGTGACTCAATCAAGCTAGAAAGAAAAAAAATGCTTGCACAAATCTTAGCGTAAAATCAATGACATAGGACTTAAATGTGCAATACTTAGAGCACATCTAGATGTGCTTTAGCAAAACTAATAGAATTTATGCCCCACAGATCATAAACTCGCATTCTTCACCCGCTTTCATTCCCTAAAAAAAACCTCGGTACCATGTGGTAGCGGACGAGACGGTGAACATGCCCTCAAGGGCCAAGGCAAGTTCTTCGTACGAGCCATGCACGTTGAGATCCACCTTCCTGCCCACGGCCCATCTGTCAATCCATACCTACAACAGCTGCCCCTTCTCCCCCTGAACTTTGTGCGAGTCAGATTCATTGGTGAGGACCTTGCTAGATTCGGGGTCCAAAGAACTGTCTCTCGTCTGACTCTAACGTTGAATACCTTATATTATGGGGCGAAGGGAGTATAATTTAAAATTGTTTGATTTTAAATTCAAAATTCGTTTGAAGAATTCAGGCGAAAAACCCTCCACAATTCTGATTATCACTCGCTATGATTATATAGATCATCAGGTTGGCTTTTCTCCGAATTTTCATACCCCTCCTTTCATATATACGACCTAATACGTATTTAAGGTAGCATATAATCAATGATAAAATTATTAGTATTTGAGATGTATTGTATCTTCCTTCATTCGTAATTACTTATCGCGGGTATAGATGTATCAACTATGTTATAGCTATTTCTATATATTTAATGTACTCTACGGATAGAGGAATACATAAAGTTAAATATAATAAAATAAGAAATTGAAAGATTTTGTTGAAATTGTTCATTTGGAAATTTCCCGAAAAGCTAATTATAGGTTCTTCTCTCCATCAGAACAATAAGGCCGCGAAAAGTAATTTGAAACGAAGGGAGTAAAAATTATATCATTAGAAACTTCTTCCACATACGAATTGGATGATATATATGCTTTGTGCAACATGCATGTCGTATGTCATTGTGCTAGCCCTGCTGACCCGTGGTTAAAGGTAGCCTCGAATAATGTATATATCATGAGGGAGTATAAGAAGTCAAAGAATTGAAGTTGGGATTCACTGAGCGTGAGTGCTTGACCGAAAGGAGAAAGGAGGAGCCGGATAGCTCACATAGGAAAGAGACCCATCCTCACAAGTCCAGAGCCGATCCTTGCAGAATCTAACTGATCAACAAAGTCAAGCACATAGACAATTAGTGGAACGCAGATTCGAGAGACCGCTAGCTGCACTCCAAGTACATCAAATCAAATGATATTATAGATCACGAAACAGGGGGAGGCTACTAGCCTAGCCCATTACACTCATTTAGTTTCCACTAATCCAAAACCATTGACGGTCTCGGAAAAAAAAACATGCACTCACGCTTAATAATTTTACAATTCTTTGCTGTATTCAGCTTGCACCATACATACGCGCTTGTTTATCTACAGAAGAATGATGCATCCGGCTCCGGGAATGGTAGGATTAATTAATAGGTTGCTTAATATAATACGAGTAATTAATTAATTACTGAAGCTGCTGCTGTCTTGCTTGCTGCTCGGTGGGCCTTCGGTCTCCTGATTGATCACATCACCAGCTCCGACACCCACCCCAGGTCCGGCCCGTCGTCCTCCGTCACCGCCGGCAGCGTTCCTGACGGTGCCGATGGTGCTGGGTTGGCGAAGCTGAGCTGCTGCATTGCGAGCATGATCTCCCCGACCTCGGCGTCGGCGGCGGCGGCGTCGTCTATGGCGTCCAGCCACCTCATCCTGCCCTCCACGGGCGACACCGGGGGCGACTCCCAGAGCGCCGTCAGCGTGGACTTGGGCGACAGCGCCGGCGGCGAGTCTGGCCCCGGCCCCTTGTGGTGGGAGGCGAGGCGGAGCTCCCCGGCCGCGTGCGCGAAGAAGCAGACGCGGCGGCGGCAGGCCGGGCCGGCGCGGCAGGGGCGGGTGCGGTAGCGGGACGGGTGGAGCCAGAGCTCGAAGGTGCCGTGCGCGAAGGGGCAGGAGGCCCCTCGCGGGCACGCGGCGCCCGGGCGGCGGCGGAAGTCCGGGCAGGGCTCCCCCGCGTAGGCCACGCGGCGCGGGTCCCGGCGCCGCGCCGCCTCCCCCGGGTGCGCGTAGGGGCAGGCCGTCCAGTCGTGGCTCCGCGCCCGCGCGCACCGCCGCACCTTGAACTCGTACATCATGAACTCGTCGTCCGCCTCCGCGTCCGCCTCGGTGTCGACGGCAGACTGATGATGATCCCCCTGGGAGGCGCCGGCGGAGGAGGAGGAGAGGTACTCCCCCAGCGCGGCGAGCAGCTGCGGCGGGAACTCCGGTTCGGCGGCCCAGGAGTAGGCCAGCGCGGCCGGGTCGAGCAGCAGGCCGTGCCCGTGGGCGTGGCTCGCCATGGCCGTCCTTGTCAGGGAGGGAGAGGGAAAGAGAGAGGTGTGATGACACGCCGTGACGGTAACCGGCGGTGGTGGTGGTGTGGGGGAGCAGGGCGTGGGGCGGGTGGCGCGTCGCTTTATAGTACCGGCAGGTGGCGCGGCGGGGCGCGGGACGCGCGCCGGTGCGAGGAGGGGCGGTATCGCATGGACCGCTGTTGGTTGCGGGCGGGGGGCTATCGGCGTGGGGTGGTTTTGGCCCGGGGCGGGGTACGTGGGGGTGGGCGAGGGTACGTGGAGCGCCGCCGAGGCCGGTGCTGCATGTTGCCCGCCACGTTGCGCCCGGGATGGTTTCTCCCCTCGGCCGCCGGCACGCACGCACCCCGCCCGCCTTTATTTTTCTTCCTCTTCTGGATTCTAGACTAGATAGGCTTCCGGCGCTTTCGTTTCTCGTTTCTCATTTCCGGGAGCAGAGGCCACACGGCGCGACACAGGACACGCTGGCAAGAGTTTACCGTACGTACTACGCCTTACGTGTGATGAAGGTATACTTGTGTTTCTGAGCGGTGCGTGTATGACGGTATTGATTACGGGTGCGTCTGGCTTGCGTGATTGCATCAGCTGAATGAGGAGCTTGTGAGGTTTCGTGCGCAGCAGTTTTCGCACGCAGGCGCTGTGTGTCTTCCCGTGCTCACAGCTCACGCCCACGAATCCTATGGAAATTGGAGCGCAAACTGTGGTCGAGCGCAGCCCGCGGCTGTCCGCAGCGAACCGGCGCTGCCGACTCAAGAAACCACACTCTTCACGCGGGAGAATATGGCATGGAAACCACATTTGAAAGGTTCGAAAAAAAAATCTGAAAAACAGAAGAGACGAAATGTTAAGGGTATGATGTTTTATGGCCACGTGAAATTTCAAGTCGAAACACATACAAGATGTGAGCTATAAAAAAATTTAATCCAGGGACGAATAGCTTTAGTACTGTTCGGCACTATTTAATGCTGGTTTTGTTATTTTCATAGCTCATATCCCGTAATGTGATTGGATTTGAAACTTCAAAATATCTTTTTCATCTGGTTTTCATGGGTTTCTGCTGAATGCTGATTTTCATATGATATTCTTCCCTCTCCCCGCTCGTCAAATTCAAAAAAAAAATAGTGTGCAAATATCCTGGATGCCTTTTTTGGTTTTGGATCATTTCATGTGTGCAAATACTATTGGGCATGCATGACATGATATTTAAAGTACCATTGGGTCCGACCCTGAGGAACGCTCAAATCTATACTTTTTCAGAGCTAAGCCCGAGCGAACTGGTGCCTCTAGTGGTGCGGCGATCCTTATTTTGCACGCAGATGGCTGGATAGCGATCATGTACCCTCCGGCATGCTCGTCCTCGCTGTGGGCTAGCCAAATCTGGTTTTTTTTCTCCCCACCAGTTTTGGGAAGGTTCTAGAACATTCCTTTAACCATTTCTTCTTCTTTTTCTTCTGGGTTTTTTCTTTTTCATTTCCTTTATGTTTGTATTCTCTTTTATTTTAAATTTTAATTTTTTTTTGCTCTTTTCTTTTTTTAACCGTCTTTTCCTTTTAAATTTTGACAAATATTTTTAGAAAATGTGAATATTGTTTTCTCATCAACTTTACAAAATCTTCATCGGACTCAAAATTAGTTCATCAAACTCAAAAATGTTCATGAATTTAAAAAAAATCATCCAGTTTTAAAAAATGTCATCCAATTCAAATATGTTCTTAAATTAAAATTGTGTTTATCAGATAAAAAAATGGTCATCAAAATTCAACACAAATCATAAAAAATCAAAAGTTGTTTACAAAAATTGAAACATGTTTATTTTCTGAATTTGTGAACATTTTTCTTTGCTTTGCTTTTCTGGGCAAAAGAGGGCACACGGCTTATTACGGCTAATCAAGGGCGGTTTCTCCTCTAGTTTCCCATTTCCGGCAGCAGAGGCCACACACACAGCGCATGGAAGCTCACATTTTTCTTTGCTCTGCCTTTTTTGGCAAAAGTTTACCGTACACCTCACGTATGTTGTTTGGCAGTACGTGTGCGATGGTATTGATTACGAGTGCGTCTAGTTTGCGTAGTTGCATCAGCTGACTGAGGAGGGCTCGAGCTTTCTACAGAACTGGATCCTCTAACATAAACCAGGATGTTAGAGAAGCTACAGTGTCCTAACTTTCTTTCTGTTAATCATACAATTAAGACTAAAATAACTTAAATTAATTTTTAAATTATAATTCTAGTATGCACATTCATAGTAATTACATACAAACAAGTTGATGGTGAGATAAAATTAATTTTGGAATTTTTATATCTACAGTAGTTACCAAAAGTAAATAACCTGAGCAGTCCGTAACATTTCTTCTTCATTTTATACTAGACGAACACTGTAGCACGACAACTTCCCTTCTCTAAGTTAGAGGATCCGGCTCCGCTTTCGACCCCCAGGAATTCACACACGCGATAACTATCTTCCCGTGCTCGCGGCACGGCACCATTGTTGTTATCCTCACGGCTTTGGAAACTGGAACGCAAGTTGTGGTCGAGCACAGCCTGCGACCGACCAATGCGGCCGACTGAAGAGTGAAGAAACCCTAATCTCTACTTGTTGATGAACTCGGTTCTCTAATTCCACGTCGCACCCAACCTGCCGCATCCATCCTCCTCCGCTCCTTTTCTCCTATCTGCATCACGCGTCGTTACTAATAAAAGAAAAAAAATCCTGAGGCTGAAATTTCTACTATGATTGCAAATTATTCTTTCAAAGGAAAAAATGCCTGAAAAACTAGAAGAACCAGGGATACCCACTATATCATGCTCTATTAAGAATAACAATGTTAAAACTGCTTTGTTTGATCTGAGAGTTGGTGTTAGTTTTATGCCCTTCTCTCTCTATAAAAGACTTGACTTGAATAAGTTAATACCCACTGAAATTTCTTTGCAAATGGCTGACAAGTCTACTGCTATTCCCGATGGTGTTTGTGAGGATATTCCAGTTGTGGTTGGTAATGTCACTATCTTAACAAACTTTATTATACTTGACATGCCCGAGGATGACAACGTGCATGTTATCCATGGAAGGCCTTTTCTTAACACTGGAGGGGTTGTTATCGATTGTAATAAAAATAAGGTTACTTTCTATGTCAATGGCAATGAGTGTACGCTTTATTTTCCAAGGAAGTCAAACCAAGTAAACAGTCCCAATTCTATCAAAAAAATTATGACCATCACAATTGGAGACTTTGAATTTTCTATTCCGGTTCTCGAAAAGAAATATCAAACTATTATGATTGGAATCATGCCTATTCAAGTTGAGGTACCATAGTGCAATGCAAAAATTCTTCGATTTTATGTTACTCGAAAATAGTTCGCTAATAAGACTTGATCGACTTTGTTAATGGATTCTTTTTTAGGAGAATATAATTGATGAATTTCATAAGCACGGGTTTCTATAGCTATTCTTTATGCTTTGTTTGGATTAGTTTCAATGAAATTTAAATATCCTAGAATGCCCTTTTTAGCCTATTTTCTAAATTTTCTATGCAATGAAAAGATGCAAGAATAAAAGTTCTCAGAATGTCCTGAAAATTTGGCATGAATTTCTTTTGAACATTTAGAAATTTTTGGCACTAAACACACCCCAGGGGGGTGCACCTGCTGGCCACAAGCCAAGTGACGCGCCTAACCCTGGGCGTGCCCGGGGAAATATCTGGTGCACCGGAGCTTATGGTGCTACCGGTGCACCGAACTCATATTGTGCTTTTAAAATGTTCAAAAAAAAATTAAAAAATTAGCACACTCACACAACATTAATGTAGGTTATCACAAAATTTCAAGTCAAAATTCGAAACATAAGTCAAAAAACAAAAATGACAAATTCAACATTGAATAGTACATAACATAACTTGGGCTTTAGATTTGGCCCATTATCACACTGATATCAAATTTGTCATTTTTGTATCTCAAAAAATATTTCGAATTTTTACACAAATTTTTGTGACATCATACATTGATGTTGTGTTAACATGCTAATTTTTTCAGATTTTTTTAAATATTCTATGGCATCCGGTGCATCGGTAGCACCACAAGTGCGGGTGCACCGGATACTTTCCCGGGAGTGCCATGGTGGCTTGTGGGGCCCACAGGCACCGACTTGGTCTCATGGCCCCTGCCTTCTTCTTCCTCCAGAAAAAATGTTCTTGCCCCATAGCTCGAGTTCTTGCTCATTTGCGAACATTTTTCGATCTCTTTCTCTGATCTCCATTTCCGAAAAATTTCAAAGGAATTGCTCCTTGGTATGTGATTCCCCTATAGGTCCAATTATTTTTTGTTCTAGTGGTTTGTTCTTTGCTTATTTTCTACTGTTGGTGACCATTAAAATGAGCTTGCATGTTGAAATTATTTGGTTCTAAGTAGATTTGATGCATGGTTTAGCCCCTAGAAGCTTGTACGAGTTGTTGCTATCAAATGTGTTGAATTTTGTACACTTTTTACCAGTTAAAAATTTCGCAAAAAAGGAGAATGTTGAGGAGGATGTTCTCAGAGGGTTCTTCAAGTCGCAGCACCGCAAGGACCGCTTACCATGAACCGGGAGAAAGCTCTATGCGCGGTGCCGAAGTGAAGGCGTGTCAATGTCCATGTGAGACCTTCATGAACGGTGCCGGCATCAAACAGGAATTCGATCAATTTGTGAAAAATGCTTGTTTGACTGCCTTCCTCGCAAATAAGTGTAGTCAATATTACTACCGCACTGATACTTTCGTGCAAGATGTTCAATACATATCTCATACTACACCGAG